TATTCTGTAAAGCACGTTTCAGAGCATTTTCTGACATCCATTTTGATCGTTTCCTTCTTTCTTGTTTTCTTAATGACCTTTTGATTTCTTCCTGTGTGATATTCTTGATGTCATCCTACAACTCTTCTGGTCTTTGGTCTTAAGTGTCTAATGCATCAGATCTGTTCTTCAGATGATCACTAAATTGAGGTAGGATATGTTCAAGGTCATGTTTGACTCTTGTGTACTTGTTTAAAATTTTTTTTTTAGCTTCAGCCTGAACTTGTATATGAGCAATTGATGGTGTGCCCACAATCCACTCCTGTCCTTATTTTAGCTGATGAGACGGAGCTTTTCCACCATCTTTTTGCACAGATGTGGTCTGTGTATTTTATTTGGTTTTATTTCTATGTATTCTATCTAGTGTGATCCTGGTGTATAGTCATCTTTTATGATGTTTAAAAAAGGTAATTCCAATGAAGGAATCATTGGCCTTGCAAAATCTTACCATGCAATCTCCAGCATTGTTTCTATCACCAAGGCCATATTTTCCAATTAGTGATCTTTCCTTTTTATTTCCAACCTTTGAATTCCAATCTTCAGTAATTATCAATACATCTTCATTGCATGGTTTATCAATTTCATAGTGAAGAAGTTGGTAGAATTCTTCAATTTCACCATCACTGGCTTTGATTGGTGTGTAAATTTGAATAATAGTGGTATTCACTGGTCTTCTTTGTTGTTGTTAAGTGCTGTCGAGTCGGTTCCAAACCATAGGTGAGCTTGAACTGCTAACCTTGGGGTTCAAACTAACTGCATTCCAGTGCATCAACCCACAGTGCCATACCAGGACTTCTTATAGGCATAGCAATATTATCCTATCAAAGACAGCATTGTACATCAAGACAGATCTTGAAATTCTCTTTTTGATGATGAATGAGACACCATTCCCTTTCAATTTATCATTCCCATCATAGGAAACCATGTGATTTGCTGGCGTCAGCATATGCAGATCCTGGGTTGATCAGTGGCCCTGTGACATGGACG